TTATGTACTCAATCAAATTCCATACAAGCATACAATTCCAATAAACTTATAATATGTGTTTAATTATAGGAAGATGGCAGAAAACTGATCAGTTTACGCTTTTCTGTCACATACTTTTAGGCTACATTTGTTTCAGCTGGTGTTTCTTCAAATATGCTTTATTGATATCTTTTATGAAATGTGGTAAATTTAAAAAAAGAAAATCTGTTCGGTTTATATTATTTTTTTGGTTTCTATATTTACAAATCTATCCCCTTCCCTAATCAACACCAACGCCTTATTTATTTTATTTGTAATGATCCGTGCTTGGATAAAAACTAGCCAACTATGTAGTGCAAAGAATAAGAATGTTACGGAATAAGCGGAAGGAAAGACTGGAGGTCCGGACTGGGAGATTGCGCGGACAGTTTCACTCAGGGTTTCACCATGCATAGCATAGTGACGAATATTTTGCGGGCACCAGGGACTTAAAATCTGCATATCCAGGCACGCGAAGCTAGGGGGACATTCCATTTCCGGTTGATCAGCGTGACAACAACATGGCGGAGATCAGTTTGACGAGTGCTCAGATCAGAGACGGTGTAAAAGGTATGTTGTTTTATCGTTTCATGTCCTCAAACTTTCTAACCACGTAATTTTGATGAGTCTGCAACCACTCACATCCTAATGATGTTCTACCCTACAGAGATTCTGAAGCATGCCGATCTTACTACGATGTCAGCGAAGAAAGTTCGCCGCACTCTCGAAGATAAATACGATGTGGACCTTTTTGACAGGTTAAAACATACCATTGCTTTGTTGTGTGTTATTTCACCTTTTTTTTAATGAGAATCCAATCTCTCCCCGTAGAGCGTAATCTGCGCCTGTGTTCACTGTAAACAAAACTGTCCACCTTCGTTCAAGCGAAAGCAGTTTGTTTAAAAAACGTTTATTTTGACTTTGTGTAGTTGTTGTAGTGTGCCATGTGTCGATCTGTCGCCCTCTACGAGCCATCCATAAATTTACATGTTTTGTGCGCATCACCCACGCCACTTCATGATACTGTAAAACACGTTGAAATAGCAAATTTGACCGAATGCATGAATTAACAGAATCTTAATTTAGCTAAATTGTCAATCATTTCATTGTTGCCAATATGCCTGTATTAAATTAGCTACATCTTTAATTAAATAAATAGTTAGATTAATTAGCTAAAATAACATGCTAGCTGAAAAGATGTGTTTTACATATTGCTGTTGTTAGATTATCCATACAGCTAAAAAAGAAAATAAATGAATTACCTTTGATGCCATTTTTTCCATGACTTCTGCCAACTGTTTGCAACGAAAGATAATGCTTAGCGGGCTTGTCGGGTGATTACCAGACGTAAATATTCAAATTAGCAGTTTTGCATTCATTACAACAAAGTCAAGAACAACAACAAGTTGAAAATTGCGCCAACAGTTTATAACATTTCTGTCGTAAACTCCAACTGTTTTGCTCTTTAAAAAACCATTTGCATTGCATTTTGTAACCCACAACAATCACTTTGCAAGCTTACTTATCACAAAAATCTGTGTTTTCAAAACTGCCCAAAGGTTTTTGTGACAGTGACAAGAAAAGAATAAAATACAGCTCATTCAACCAGCAGTTTTCAACCTAATAGTATGGCAGAGCAAATTTATCATAAAGTTAGATTTTGATTAAGCTAAAAAATAATTGTCTGCAATACATGTTTTCGGTTGAAATTCCAATTATTTGAAAGCATAGTGTGCAATACATAACGAATATCCATCCATCATGGCTGCCGTTAACAAATGCAAAAATGAACCAACAATGCTGTGTCTGGTCATGAGTTCCCTTTCTGTTAATATACCGTATCAAAAGCTCATGGCATCGCCATTTTCATGAAATTAAAATTATCCTCCACAAAAAGTGTTCACTTGAAATATATATTTGAATTTGTGTGTTGAAAATGGCGCAATTTTTCATTGCAAAAAGTCATCTAATTGTCATGCTGTTTACATCTCTGTTCTTCAAATCTGCCAATTTTCACAATATGATTTGTAATATTTCCACCACAAGTCCAATCCTTCTCAACACAACCCTGTTGTTACTTATTTATAAGGTATATTTGATGTCTTCCAAGGACAATGATCTCAGAGCACAGACTAGCAATAAGTTGTGTTTAGGCTACACCAAGTACGGGCTAAGATTTAAGCTAATCTCGGCTAGACCCAATGCATGCATGCTAACGGTGTTTAGCTCACGCTAAGGAATGCCCAATCTTGTTAAGAATATACAAAACATCAGTCCTTTTAACTATGATTATTCAGTACAGTAACTAGGAAGGTTAGTTTTATGATTTAAAACAATACCAAAGCAAATTCAAAAAGTGCAGATTGCAGAATATGGGAAAGTAGTACAGAGTTCATCGTCAGTTATTTTTTTTCTTGCGAACAATGTACCTAGATTTGCTTGCGTTGATTGTCATGTTGGAAATGGCATACTGAAATGAATAGTAGAACATGCTAAGGATCTGTGCACAAACGCAATTATTGTTGCCTATTCTTTGGTGGCTTGTGATTAGACTTTTTATTCTAAAAAAACAAATATACATTTGTGTATGTAATTGCATGTGAGATGCTTATATAGGAAGTGACGGATGCATGCAACTACCTACAAACCTCAGGATGACCAGCGAAGGATTGAAAGGATTACAAATCTTTTGTTTTTGCTGATCACGCTTGCTTATCTGTTTGTGATTGAGTTAATGTTTCTACCATGGAGGTAAAAAAAGAAGAAGCACTGACGGAAAATCAGCCTATTAAATTCAATTGTTTATTGCTAAGTTAAGCCCCTTATCTTGGTGTTTGAACTCGATGATAGTTGGCGATTGTATAAACTAGTGTACTGACGGTAATATTCAGATTACACAGAAACAATTTTCCAATGAAATATTAAATCAGTTGCGCAGACCATAAATGAGGTCGTTATTCATGTGCAGTGACCTTTGTTGAAAACAAGAGGTCACCATTCACACTACACACCGGAAACTAGACACTTGGATATTTAATCCCGTTTGTAGTTGAAGATTGACTATATTTTATGCTCTCTGACGAGTCAGCTTTTGAAACACTTTATTTATATGATCCACAGAATTCCGCAAAAATATTTAACTTTTTATATAATCTTTGCATCCTCGGCTTTTGAAAACCACTGTCAAATCTGGCAAGCGACGGTGAGCGGTTGTCGAAAATCGCGACTATTGGTGCGATGGCAGGACGCTAAACAGTGCATTGTTGGGATAGTTTTTGCTGTAAACCCTGCACACTCGCAATGAAACCATGTCACTGTGCAGTCGTTGTCGTCACATGCAGTCATGCTTTCTGTCTCTTCAACACCACATATACAAAATGACTGATGAAAAATAGCCAGTTCATTCTCAACTACGGCCAAGTCTGCCCATTCTTCCGCGGAAAAATCTATATCGGAAATTTCGATAGTAACTCGTGTTACGCCCAACGCCATGTTTGTTTCTCTGGTTCTGCACATGCGCAGGTCATTTGGATGATTGCCGAAGTTTGTCGACAGACTCCGAACCACGTAATCCCCATTAAGGGATTAAGCAGATAACAGGAAAACGGACAGCGCATTGTTTGCTTGGCTAACAATCGGCAGCTATCATAGTACACAAAGGAAACATCGGGCGTCAGTGCTCCTTCTTTTTTTACCTCCATGGTTTCTACTTATACAGAAACAATATTGATTTGATGCATCGAAAGTTGTTACGCACAGTTGATAGGACTGATCACATATATGCAGTTATTGTCATCTGTTTCCTTGACCTTTCACCTGATCAGAAACTGTTAATACTTACTCTGCCAGCCGACTGTGTGAATAGATACGTCAATTCTCTCGTCTTTTTGGGGAAAATTACTAAATAAATGAATAAATTAATTTCAGTTTCATTGGAATAGCGCTTTGAAATTGAAATGCATGAGCCAAGCCAAATAACATGAAATGGAATACTGTGGAATACTTTATTTTCGCTGGAATTAATTTTCGCTGAAAAGGCTTTTTGGGCGTTTTGCTTGGAATTTATTTTCACTGAAATTTGATGAGTTTAATGTGAAATATAGGGGGAAAAATATATTCGCTGGATTTTATTTTCACGGAATCATCCCTTCAGCGAAAATAAATTCCAAGCGAAAATAAAGTATTCTACAGTAATTGATATAGTTTTTGGGTACGACGTGAAAAACATGGTCATAGAAACGGACGAAATAACGTTGTCATTGTGCAGATCATTGTTGAAAATTGAAAGGTTAAAGACAGCAGCTTCAACAAACAATTGTATCAAAATAACCAATATAATGAATAGATCTTGCTAGACCAGGGTTCTCCCCACGCCGGACATCCTCTTCCAGGACTCAGAATTTCCGACCAGGACAAAAAGTTGCCGACCGTACTATTCTATTTGTTTGTGATAAACACAGGATGTTGGCCACTGGACCATCATTCCATTGTCCTTGTTGGTTTTAACACACAACAACACAATGCAAAAATTAACACAAAACTTTAATGAAACAAGACACTGCTGTTCAAAATCTAATGTGTTTTTGTTTTAACCTTCTCTGATTGATATTCAAACAAACGAACCAGATCAGAATAAGTCAAGCTAAAAAATGAAGGCAGCATCAGCCCTGTCAATGCCGCGAGAGTGCTAGAACATAGATCGCATACTTGATCGCAAACTTATGAGCCCAATAACTTTACAAAAGTAATAGCTCTTCATCAATTTCATGAACAAAAAAAGCAAAATTCACGAAAATAACTCTACCGCATCCTCAAATATAACACATAACAGTAATATTCATTCATACCAGTTTGAAATTGGTCTAGTTTTCATGATCTTTAAAGAAAAAACTTTCAATCTCTGAGATCGTACCAAAGAATCATGGGATACCATTGCTTATGTTGTTTCTTTAATAGTTTCTGTTTGAAGTCGAAAAAACAGGGATTAGAATTTATGTCTTGTGTGCATATCTTTGATATACATCACGTTCAAACTTCACGAACGTCTTGGAATACATGTGCATTGGCCTTGTGGTGGCCTTTTTATTGCCAAAATAAATCATTTCCACAATATCGGAACCAGATCTCAGTCCTGTATGAGCAGATTTTGTTGAAAGCTGCTAAATGCATTAAAGGACAGTGATCGTTGCATCACGCATGCACAAGATATGGGTCTCATATAAACAAAGATGGCGACTTTGACTGTTGCGTACACCAACAAGTACAAACTGAGAGGTTACAAAGCTTTAATTAGGTAATTTATTTGGGTCACTGGAAGGTATCGAAGAAGTTGCTGGCAGTAATTGTGATAAACTTGTGATTTCATTAGAAAAGCACATTGGATTGTAGGAAATTCAATGTTTATCAACACAAATGTTGCACATGCGTGGCTTGGCGACTACCGCTCTTTAATGCACATCACTTTGTTTTGCTGATTAGATACAAAATGGCCTTCTAGCAGCCATTTTGTTTTAACATATCTCTGACATCCATTCAGAATTTACTAATGCATCATACATCATGTCACACTTGTAATACGTACCTGTAATTGTTCCATGATCCAATTTAAGATGACCAAATCGCATCCATTTGAAAGCTATAATATCATGTCCACCATTCCGAAACCAAATCTCAGTCATTCATAGACGATCTTTTCAGACTTGGCACATATATTGAACATAATAGTACCTTAGCTCGTGTCATTTTGTTTTTTCGATAAGATTTAAAATGGCTGACTGCTGGCCATTCTTTTTATCGAATGCTGTTTGAGGGACATATTTCTGACATGCTTTGTTTATCATGGGAACATATAATAATATACATGTACATTCATTCTGATATGAATTTATACTGAAAACTTGTTAACTTTTCCTTGGTTTTACAAGTGATCAAGTAGATACAATTTTCTCTGAGAGTAGATTTAATCATAGTTGCCTTGTCTATCTTGTAGGAAAAAGGAGATCGATCAAATTGTGATGAGTACTATCACCGCGACAACAACCTCAGAAAGTGAAAAAGAATCACCTTCTAAAAAAAGCAACGATGAAGAACTGCCAACTAAAGATGAAGACACATCATTAGATGACAAAGAGGTTGATAGTGACAGCAGTTCACTTGGAGAGGTAAGCAGGGACTTCTGATAATATAATGTCAGGGTTCTCCACGGTTTGAAAATTAAACAGGGCGCGCCAATGTGAAGTGGGCGTGGCACATTTGTAACGTACATCATTGGCAAGGATGTTGAAAAATGGAAACTAAAAAATCTATTAATCTACATATATTATTACATATGCATAATATATATTTATTATTACAAAATGAATAGGAATTTTGAAGAGCTATTATTAAGTAAACGTCAGCACGTACAATCAGCTGATTTTAGCTGCACGATTCCTCAAGCGGCGACATCAGTTGTTTACAAGTAATGATCGCGTCCAGAAAAAGACGTAACAAGTTTGTTAATTTATTTTCCCAAATAGATACATACATGCTTTATTTAATTTTTAGCAAAAATTTATATTTATGATTTATATTTAAGAAGCAAAATAAAATGTATGTCGCACAAACGTTCGTAATTGGTTCATTAAAAAACTTGCATGAATGCCACCAAAAACCAACGAAATAAAA